CTGTTGATCTAGACAGGCCTCCTTCATCATCTTGAACTTCTGTTTTTATTAATTACCTAAAACTGCTTTTCTGGAGCATATACTAGAGCTGAGAACTGAACCCTCTGATGGCTCTTACTCTTTAGGATTTTGGAGCAGCAGGACTTAAAAAGAAAGGAAAGGATTAAGGATTTGCCTGGGCTGAATCAATCTGTACCTCACTTTGGGGAAAGCAGTTCGACTTCCTTTCTCCCCAGCCTCTTCTAATGTTACTGAGATTCAAAATCAAGCCTTTTGCCAGGGATGTATTTGTCTTTTTATTTAAATATCTAATTATTTTTATATCTTCCAAGGAGAGCTCCTGACTACCGTAAGTTTATAAAGGAAAGAGCAAAACAAATATAGAAAAATTGTTACTTAAGAATGGTACTAAATAGAGCCAGCATGTATAGTTCATATTGGTGGTGACCCAGAAAAACTCTAGGGAATACCATTCATGTCACTGTCTATGTGGATGGTGCCCTTTTGTGTTTTTAAAAAATTTTTAAATTTATTTTTGAGGGCATAATTAAGCTTACTTATTTATTTATTTTTAGAGGAGATACTGGGGATTGAACCCAGGGCCTTGTGTATGCTGAGCATATGCTTTACCACTTGAGCTATACTCTCCCTCTCCTTTTTGCATTTTGCAGTGTACAACCTATCCAACCATACACAGCAGCCCTAGTGTTGGCAGTCTCTTTCTTTAATTTTGTCACCTTTGATACAGGAAAGATAAAGCAATGCCCATCCCCCCAGGGGTGCGAGTGAGTGGTTGCTAAAGGCTAGGTGTTCTGACTTTTCCCCACCTGCTGATCGCTGAACACACAGACAAGCTCCCATCGGCTGAGGATCTACGAGCGAGAGGACTACAGGGGCCAGATGGTGGAGATCACCGAGGACTGCTCCTCGCTCCATGACCGCTTCCACTTCAGTGAGATCCACTCCTTCAATGTGCTGGAGGGCTGGTGGGTCCTCTACGAGATGCCCAACTACCGGGGGCGGCAGTACCTGCTGCGGCCGGGGGACTACAGGCATTACCACGACTGGGGGGCCACGAGTGCCCGAGTGGGCTCCTTGAGGAGGGCCGTGGATTTCTGCTGAAACATTTTTACTCCACCCTTTTCTCCATGTAGAAGCTAATAAAATGTTTCCTGTGTGTTTCATGCAGTAAAGTGGTCCTCTTTTCCTTTTAGGCTCATTGGAAAGGTCCATCAAAATTAAAGCTGAGAATACAGTAGACTTGCTTACACAGGGTGGGGTGGGGTAGTAGTTAAGAGCACAGGCTCTGGAACCAGAACCCTGGGTCCAAACCCATTTAATAGCTCGAGGCAATTGGCAAGTTACTTAGCATTTCTGTGCCTCAGTTTCCTAATTTGTAAAATTCGGTGTAATAATACTCTTCATTTCATAAGGTTGTAGTGTGGACTAAATGAGGTATTATTTTAAAATAACTTACACATTTTAGCTTTGCAGATAGTAGTTTCTAGGAAACTGTTCTGTAAGCTTGCTGTTGACACATCTCGTCACCTTCTTAGTAGAATTCCCTTTTGGAGACGGCATTAAGTAGGATGGCTAAGTGATATTGCTGTAGAGGGAGAAAAAGTCAGAGATAGAGAGATGTTAAGATAACTGTGCCAGACACAACTTCAGTGTAAATATATTTGACTGCCTGAATAAATTTATTAATATATATGTATCCAGAGCACAAATATAAGAACCAAGTGCCAACTTACTGAACAGTCCAAAGGACCCTTCCAAAAACGTTTCTGCTTAGGGGGGTTACAAAACACTCAGGTAGTGTGCACTGATAAAAATGAGCACAGAGTGACAGAAGTAAAGGTAGAAGGTACATGATCAGGAAACTAACATGCAGTTGTGCAAAGTTCTTAAATCTGTTATTGGCTAGGCTGATATTTCTCCCATACTGGGATCAATTTTTTATTACTTTTAATTCATGAATCAGCATTTGATAATGATCATAGCACTAAGAAAGAAAAAGGCAACATAGGAACCGACCATTTAATTGAATTCAAAATTTCTTTGCAGGACGATGAAATTCATCAAATGAAATCTGAGTGGGTATTCCCCATAAGATTTTCTTTAATTAAAAATACTACTGGGTTCAATCTCCAATACCTTCTCTAAAAATAAATAAACCTAATTACCCAACCCCTACCCTGCCAAAATAAAAATAATTAAATAATACAAAAATCAATCCATCAATAAAATATTAAAAAAAAAAGAAAATACTAGACTTCTCAATTTCAGATGCTTACCTGTAATTGAGAAAAGAAAAATTACTTTCCAGCTCAGGGGTTTGTCTTAATTGTAAAAATGGCAACCTCTTTTTGAAATAAGTTCTTGGTGAGCTGAATAGCTGTGATTAAGGAGGAACCACTGCATTATTTTCTACTTGAAAAAATATATACATCTGGGAGCTAGCAAAACTGTTGTTCCTCAAACCCCATATGTTAAAGGAATAAAATGGTCAAATGATTTATGCCTAACATCTTACTTCCCTAACACATGTGCATGTTCCAAGATATTTGGAGAAGGTCTAAGGACATTTAGATCTATGCTAATGCAGTAGCCACCATCACATGACTCTATTTGGCTAGACTTCATTTGGTTAAGTCTGAAGATGCGTCATCAGTGTAAAATACACACCAGATTTCAAAGACTTAGTATGAAAACTATAATGCAAAGTACCTCAATATTTTTCCAATTAATTTAATATTGAAATGATATTATTGTGAACATACTAGGTTTAATAAAATCTATTATTAAAGTTGATTTTGCCTGTCTCTTTTAACTGTTTTAATGTGGCTACTAAGAAAATTTAAGATTACCTTTATGCCTCTTATTATAATTTATTTCCCAGGCCCCTAGGCTAAAAAGATGAGTTTTAATTTATATTCAGATACAGCTTAGCTTGAAAATTGAGTTGTATAAAATCCTGAAAGTTAGGAGACAGAAGAGAATATGCTTAAGTTTTACAGTCATTGAACATCCATTCCCTTATTAGGAAAGACTCAATTAAATTATAATTTTCACCTCTTATGGGTCTGAGGCAGCGGGGGATGGATGCCCATACTGTCTCATCAGGTGGTGGTTCCATTAACTACACTGAATTGAAGTTTCCACAACAAATGTGAAGCGTCCTGCATTCTATGGATTCAGATCCCTTCTCTCCTCAGCTAATTTTCCCTACTCTCCCTCTCCCTGTCCTGTGAGGCCCTTCAGTGACAGGATTTTCATTCTGGAAGCTGACATGTCTGCCTCCCTTAACTTTTCAAACACTGTTGACATTGTTATAGACTTCGTAAAAAGTATGAAAAACAACTGGCTGAAAATATTCATCTTTGACTGTTTACTCTGGCTAAATCAATACATTATTTTTGAGCAAACTCACATGCTCGTATTTAGGGAAACAACCAGATTTTTTACGAGATGAAAGGACAGCAAACTACTAAAGAGATAAAAATGGTAAACACAGTAGAAACTGAGAAGGAACAGTTGAATATTCTGGAAGACACTGTTATCCAATGCTGGAACGTCAGGAGGCATGAGGGCTGAATACAAGCTCTGCAATCATGTTTTTAAAAGATTATGTAGGGTATTGTGCACAGAACTCAGATTGTCAAGGTTCAACAAGAGGACACCAGATCTCATTCATACACAGGGGTTTTCTTTACCATCTATTATTCATTCTACTTTTCAACTATTGAAAAAAAATCCGATAAAATGGAGTTTAATTTGATAATCCCTGAAATTTAAAGGATGTATATATGGTCCTGGAGGAAGGATAATTAAAGAGGGATCCTAGATGCTTCCTGCCTTATTAACGGTCCTGACAATCCATAGGCTTTTGCTGGTTACAAAGAATAAATTATTGTTCCAAATATGGGACGGCAGTAGAATCCTGCATTTCCATTATAGAGGAATTCAAATGGAAAATTTTTCCCTTCAAGATTCATGCCTTGATATTTTGCAAAAACACTTGAAAATGTTTGTCAAATAGCTGGATGAGAGTAGCTTTTTATGGTATTTGAAAAATAGAACCTAGAGAACTTGAGTAATCCATGAACTATATATTAATCTGTCCAACAAAACCTGAATATTGCATGCTGTTCTTTGTGGACAAAATGCTAATAGAGCAAAGGCAAAGAAAAAGACATCAAAAAAGGAAAATTTTTCTTTTCTAAGTCAGGTGCTAGTTTTCAAAACTCAGTTCAAGTACTGTTTTTTTAACAAGGTGAGGCCAATGGAATGTTTTCAGGATATTTGTTCTGACATGCAATTATTTTTATCCTGCGAATTTGTAGCCATAGAGAAAGATGCTGTCAGGCTGACTGACTAAAGGAATTCTCCACAGTCGAGGACACTAGAATGTTGATAAAAGACTGAATGAGGAGGTAATAAATTGTTTATGGCACTTGAGAGATAAAGAGTTACTTTTCTAAGAGTCATGTGTACTGATTGGTTTCATGAAAGACCTTTACCCTAGACAGAAGAGCTAAATGTCAAACTTCATAATTAAATAGAAAAAGAAAAACTGAAATATTTGATTTATAACAAATATACATTACTAATAGCTCAACCTCACACAAGAGGATCATTTGTGAGACCTATGTACCGATGTGTTCACTCACAAGCCCAATCAATTATAGTATCAATAGGAGAGGGAAAGAAGCATGCAGGAAGAGTAGATTTGTCTGCAGGATTCAGAGATTAGTTACTATTTTGTAGTTTACATATCAACTTTGTGAAAAACAAAGGCAGTGAAGCATTTTCAAAACTACCTTTTCAGAAACTCTCAGGCTACAGGTGCACTGTCCTCGGAACAGCCATTAGTGAAGGAGAGGACATCATACATTCCTCGATTTATGTAAAAAGCCATGCCTTTCCCACATCCCTGTCTTTAATTGGGCCAATGGGCTTTGTATTTGTTAAAAATCATATTCCTGATTCCCCATAGCTCAGCTCCCATACGAATACCTCCATGTTAGTCTGCTGTGCTTCAGGGCAAGTTGTCAGTGGTACGGTGAAGTGAGAATAGTCTTGGGGTTGGAAACCCCTGACTCCTTGCTTCTCCATGCACATCATCACATTTGGGCATATTATCAAATCTTTCAAAGTCATGATTTTTTTGTCTGTTAGATGAGGAGAGTGAGAAATTGTAAGTATTTGCCTTGCATAGTGCCGGGTGCAGACTAGGTATTTAGTAACTGTGGTGTCTCTTCCTTTCCTCATTGAAGCTGATTGCTCTGTTTTCCTGGTGATTCACAGTGGGACATTCGCTATGTTGAAAGCATTAGGAAAATCGTGGATTTCAGAGCCTCAAATTTACTCATCAGCCAAATAAAGATATTGAGAAAAGTGAGACTAACCACCCAGTAGAGTAGTTAGCATATAATAAATGCTAGTTTGATTCTTTCTTTTCTTAATTGAAAGGGATTGTGTTCGAGATTAATAGTTGACTATATTAGATTAACAAAATATACCAATCTAATCTTTCCTCTATTGGATTGCTTTTATCTAATGAGTTTGCATCACTAAATAACAAAATATTAGAAAAATAACTTAGAACAGAAAATCTTAGTTCTCTGAATTCCAAATCGTCTCTACTACATATTGATAAGATTACACCCAATGCCTTCCTATTTTAACTCCATCAGTAAATAACTTCAACCTGTAAAATATTCTCAAAGTACAATCAAGATGTGTGATCCATTGTGATCCTGTGCTTCGTTTGTCAGAAAGGAAGCTGATCAGTGGAGAAAAGGAGGGGTCCAGGAAGAGGATGGTAACATCAGAACTGAAATCTGCTCTGATCTGAGAAATAAATTTCTGGGTGGTTTTGTCTCCTTTGCTGCAGGTGCTATTATTGCCAGTCAATGCATCGTGATAGGAAACAAGTGCTAATGTGAAATGAAAATTTCTCTTTTAGGAACCATAAAATATGTTTAGATAAAATAATGCAGTGAAAGGAGATGGTCTCTCTCTGGGCATCAGTGTTGACTGAATGCAGAGAAACCGGAAATTTATTCAGGAGTTTTTGGCAATTGATACCAAAAAATCTCTGAATATCATCAGGATTCTCAAATTCTGTCCAGAACTGAAACTAGGTAAGTGGTGGCTCCTTTTAATATTTTTTTAAATTGAAATCCACTTATTTCTAGA